CTCTTTCTAAAAACGAGAAACGTCAGATAAATTCAAAAGTGGTTTAGAATAATACATGGCAAGATGGTTTCCCTTAAGGCTTAGAGTTTCAGTAGAAACTGGACTGGTTTGACTCCTGTGCAGGTGTAGTCAGGGTCATAAATATTAAATTAATAATAAAAAAAGACCTCATAATGTACTTGTTCACTCGCTATTGCTATGTTGATGCTGTACTGTTGGCTAATGGTTAAAGGCTTCTTAGATTTCCAGTCAAAGCAGTCATTAAATGCAGGTTATATATGATGTTAAATATGGCACACATGGATAAAGAAGGGGAAAGTGAAAGGAAAACAGGAATTTCTAAAACTCTATTAAAGCTACAGAGAAAATGGGACTCCTAACAACCACCTGGAAGACCTGACAGACATCAAAACTGCCCCATCAGATGAACAGCACTTAAAGCTTTCATCTTTGAGAGAGAGGAGAAAATCAAGCTGCTTCAGATCTGAAAACATCAACAAGTGTTTCTGTCCATCCTTCCACTGTGAGAAGACGACTCAGCGCTATGGATCAGAAAGGATATGTAGCTGTCAAGAAGAACCTCACTGAGAACAGGAGACGGACACATCAAACAAAGAAGCTGACCAATGGACTGACCACCCCAGAGCCCAGACCTGGGAAGCAGAAAATGCGTGTGAAAGAGCGATTTTCCTGAAATGGAAGCTGTCATAAAGGCAAAGGGCAGAGACCGTTGGAAAAATCTATATTATATTCAGTTGTTGAGGCTTTTTTGTTATATATATGTCTGTTCTGGCTTTTTTACACAGATCTGACTATTTGGCCTACAGCAGTTTAGTGCAGCCCATTCACAGTGACGTTATAAGGAGTGTTGTAGCTCTAATAAGGCACAATACAGGGCAGCCAATCAGAATAGAGGTCATCGACACACACAAGGCACAGTAATGCAAACTGCCTGTTCAGTTCTAACAGTTAAAGAGAGGATACAATTCAAATGGTTAAACATGGACCCATGTAAGTAGACCTCAGGGGAAAAGGTACAATATGGGCCCTTTAATCTGCAAAACTCTGCTTTGAGAAATATGGCTGTCCTCTTCACTTGATCTCTTTTACATGACCATAACGTTCACCTTCTGCATCAGTATGTTCAGTCCATATGGCACAGAGATAAGCTGACCTTCGGCTGAGGCTGTGGTGGAGTCACCTCTATTGACCGCTTAAAAGCAGAAAGCCTATTAGTTCTGCTAACAGCCTCCTCAAACTCTCGCAACATTTACTCTGGGCCTGAGCACAGATGGAGGCTTCAGCTTAAAACAAGAAAACTATTAACCTGAATCTGAGTGAAGTTCAATTTCAATGACAGCATACAGCAAATACTCTTATCCAGTCTAATCATGTTTCATACGAAAGCAAATTATTAGGAGTCTTAACCAAAGCAGCTCACAGCGCTGCCTGAGCAGGGAACTGAACTCCAACCTCCAGCAAACCAGGGTGTGGCATAAATAACTAGGCTGTCTAATTACTAGAGATGTGTAACTCTCTATAAGAGATCCACACTGCCTCACAAAAAGTACTGTGCAACAGTCAGAAACCACCCTTCATTCGTTAATTCCCAGTCAAAACTAGTCAAAAAGCAATAAATACAAGTATTTTTTTTACATATAATGTAATAGAAAAACAGAACTTTTGTAAAGTAGAATTTGCAAACTAATTAAAAGATAAGGAGAAATGGGACTTTTAACAACCCCGCAAGACCTGGTCGACACCAAAACTGCCCCCATCAGATAAACAGCACTTAAAGCTTTCATCTTTGAGAGAGAGGAGAAAATCAAGCTGCTTCAGATCTGAAAACATCCACAGGTGTTTCTGTCCATCCTTCCACTGTGAGAAGACGACTCAGCGCTGTGGGTCTGAAAGGATGTGTAGCTGTCAAGAAGCTTCACTGAGAAAAGGAGACGGACACACATCAAACAAAAGAAGCTGAACAATGGACTGACCACCCCAGAGTCCAGACCTCAACATCACTGTATGTGTTTGGGATATCTTGAATTGTGAGAAGCAGAAAATGCAAAACCAATGTCTAAAACTGAACTTTGGAGGCTTCTTTGAGAAACTGAAAGTGAGTCTCCTGAAAAGAGTGGAAGCTGTAATAAAGTTAAAGACTGGACACAGTAAATACTGAAAAATTGGGTAGATCTTAAGAGGCTGTGGCTGAAAATCAAAGAACCCCCCTTAATAATCTCCTTGGAACATTCTGGCTCCACCCACTCATTATCCACAACACCTATTGCTTGTTTTGTTAGTTTAGTGTTTCTGGTTTTGTTCTTGGTGGTTGTCATGTAGTTCTAATCCCTGCCTCTCAAATTTCATCAAATCAAAATACTTATCAACATTAGATAAAAAAAAAACAAATGCAATGCAGATTTTGCTAATTAATAAATTATAAGGTAAACTAAGGTTGTACTGTAGGTAAAATGGTAGATAATATTGCTAACCTGGCTAACTTTGGGACCAAAAAACACAGTGGGCCTCATATTTCAACCATTCTTATACATAAATTTCTTCTTAAAACCCACCTTTTTCACAAAGATTCTGACATTCAGCAATGTTTTCTTATTGGGATTTGTTCTTAGATAAGAACAGAATCTGCACACACTTAAGAGTAGGTGAGAACAGTTCTGTGGTTTAAGAACACGTTTTTTAAGAAAAAACTTAAAAGATATAAATAAACATGATTAGATTCATAAAGAGCTGTTTGGGAGCTGAAGGAGTTGGTTCTTTTTGGTGAGCTGAGCCAAATGATCTGACTCACTGAAAAGAGCCTGAATGCCTGTCAACAGAAACTCAAACTGACCCACTAGCTTTATTCCTGAGGGTGAACCTGAGCCAATTGTGCCTTACCGATATGTATGTTAAACAGTGGTGGAGGCTTTATAAAATAAAACTATTTATACACGTAGATTGAGAAGGCACTGGTGCAGTTGTAGGGTATCAGTGCCTATTTCACTGCATTGAAGAGAGATACAATGAAAACAGGAAAAAAACCTTGATGTGGCTAAAACTGAGGCAGACTGGTGAGTCAGCAGCAGGGGGTGTGTGGCTGGCTTAGTGGGAATAAGCATGAGGAGGGGCCGAGCGACTGGCCTGTTCCTAATTTACTTAAGACTTGGGATTTGTGGATTACCATCGGCAATTAATCTCGTTACGCGTCTGTTGCAAGAGAGAGGAGGACAGTGCAGCAGAGTGGAGCGTGGCCTGAGAGTGCTAATGTGTGCCGAATGATTACTCACACATTTGTGTGCGTTTGCATGTTATTGTCAGAGAACTTATTGTCAGATGTTATTGTCCGAGAACTCATGAGTCATGTAACACAGAATTTCACAAATCAAAGAAAATGCCTCCTCAACTGAGAATTCCTACTCGGAAAGTCGGGATGCTGTTCTCACTTCCGAGCTCAGTATGATGGCAAATGAACATGTACGCTTGCTCCATCAAAACTAATAAAATAAGCCCTTCTGTACTTTTTAAATGAGAATTTGATTGAGATCAGTCATCACACAGATACACAGTAAATCTGTAATGTTGACCACAATGCCTAGCCTTAATGCCCAGTTCCCTAATTCCCAGGATTGACTTTGTGAACAAATGTGCATCTTTAATTCATGGCTTATGCACTGCTTCTCAAAAGTTTTGGGAGAACTGCATGTTCTTTGAAACTTTTTTGAGTAATGTTTGATTTTTACTGTTAAAACGTCTGCCTAAAGTTGTTAGCCTAAAGCAGCTATGTGATAATCTTTTGGATACATTTTGCTTCAACACTAAGCTACATGTTCATACAAAAGCCCTAATCACAAGGTCTTAACATTCTTCTTTAGTGAGCTAATCCTCAGCGGACAGTGAAATGTGTTGCTGTTCACAGCTGCCATTTCTACATATCCTGAATGCATCGCCAGTGAATAGTTATGGCTGAATTCCGTGGTTGGAGAAAGGGTACCGCCCATTTTTACTACTCACTGCATTTGTTGTTAGACAAAAATGTCCTGCGAGTTCTTTTTCGTGTATGAGCCTGTTCAGATCACATTGATTACTACAAAGAAAGAAGCTATGCAGATGCTGTGGTGATGTAGTTGATTAAGGTGATCCTTCGTTGTTGTCAGTGACACATTTGGATGCTTATGTAGTCAATGCTAGCTGACCACCTCCAAAGATGGTCTAAGTGACTGGATCACAGTGTGTCTCCAAGATCTGTTCACAGCTGTATTTAGCGCTGTCTACTTATGATCTGACTACCCAAGACGCATTATGCCAGATGTGAACAGGGCCAAAGTGCCATGAAGAGCAGGTTTTGGCTTACATAACGATGTGACAGTTTTCTTTTCCAAACTATTGTTAAAAGCACATATTGAAACTCCTTTGACCCAAAGGTGGTTTATACACCTGAACAGTTTAAGTGCTGACACCAGAACACTTTCTGACATCAAAAATGAAAGGAATGCTTATTTTCCAATCTCTTATCAAAGCCAATGTCAGCATCTGCCCACTGGCTTCTATTCTGAATCAACAGTTTTTCTGTTTCTTTTACTGAGTACAGAGAAAAAAGTCAAAATGATTATCTGTGGTAGCTCACTGTATGATATGGGCATGTCAGATACAGGTTTTGTGTGAAAACACTGCAGTATTCCTTTAACAGTGGAATCCATCCAACAAACTCACGCGAAGCACTGAAAAGGATGAACAGAGAGGAAACTAGAAGGCCGGTATTAAGGGCGTAGTGAGGACAGGTAGGGTTAGGAGGGCAGTGAATGTTAAGAAAGAGATCATGGGAGGCAAAGAGAGTGAGGGAAAAAAGAGAGAAGAGAGAGAAGCTGAAAAAGAGGGTGAGATTAGAGAGACAGGTGCAGTTTTTGGGTCAGTGATGAAGGATGTGCTGTGTAATCTTCTGCTGTATGATTGGGCTCTCTGTTCAAACTAGGTCTGTGTTCTTATTCCGCAGCTGATCAGCCATGCGATTGGTCAGCCTGCAGCAGCGCGTGCGGAGGGCGGCGGAGCCCGAGGCAGAACCCGCCCCCGCCCCTGCCCCACCTGCTCCACCTTCCCACCACAGCCACAACTTCCTGAACATGAAGAACAAGTTCTTCAATGAGCTCGGACACCTTCCAAGTGAGTGAGAGGCTCAGAAAACATCATCCATCATGTATATCACGTATATTCTCCATGTTCTTCACAGTGACACTTTTCCCATATCATAACATGATATAGCATAATATCGCAATCACGATTCGAAGGATTTTCACCAAAATACACACACACACACACACACACACATACTATATATATATATATATATATATATATATATATATATATATATATATAATGTTGCAGGTAAATGTATGAAATTGTTCTATTATGACGTTACCCTACATTTTTTTTACTAATTTGGTTAACACTTTATGTGGAGAGTCCACTTTAGATGCTTTGTAGATACTTAATTTACTTTCAAGCTACATTCAACTAAATAGCTACTAAACGACCATAATTTTCTTTAACTCTAATCCTGCTCTAATCCTAACCCTGACCAAACCTCAACCCAAAACCTAAACCCAACCCTCACCCTGCTCCTAGCCCTAACCCTGGTCCAAATCCTGACCCTAACCCCACCACTGTTTAGAATCAACTGAGTATCGACAGACAGTTTACCAAGTTAAACATCTGTAGATATTGTATAGGGGACTATAGTGGACTATCCAAATAAAGTGAGACCCTAATGATGAAATAAAATGATTATTTATTAGATGAGTTCAGAAGAATAAACAGAGCTGATGATTCCATAATAATGTATAACTTAGAAAGCACTGTGAATGAATTTATAATAAAATTAACACTAGAATGCCTTATTTTTGAAACAGGTGAATCTCAGATAGGTAACTTCTCAAGAAATGACTAGATATAAAGTCATTCAGAGTGGTTTGGTGTGAAATGGTTCATTGTAGAGAAACTTACCACTTACTCAGATTTCTTTCCATTGGTGGAAATGTGTCTACAACACAAATATAGCGTTTTTATTTACTATCCAAAACCACCAGTGAACCTACACATGAGTTGTATATGTAATGTTGATGATGGTAAAATAGTGATAAATCTGATTAAAATATATTTTCTTTGGGGACTATTTTGCCTTACAATGCCCTGCATGTACCTCTCCATGAGTGCATTTTAAAAAAAGTAAAAGTCTTAGGCCTCAGATAATGTATCTGTAACCATGTTATGTAAAAGCTTTATTACCTAAACAGCCCTTCAGACATCTGGTTCCTATCAGCACCACTGTGAACAATTCTGAGTCTGTAAGTTTCTCTAGAACAGAGCATTTCACACCAAACCACTCTGATGGACTTTGTTTACATCTTAACCATTTAATTAAGCAAACATGTTCAAATGTGAGATTCTCTTCCATCTCTGTCTTCATCATAACTCTCATACTTCTCTCTTTTGCTTCATCCATTCCATCACTCATCATAGACCACAAGATCAAATGTAAGTCAGCATTTCCACTTGCTTCTCTTTCACTCTCCTACCTATCCATCCCTCTACTTGCCCATCATCCATCAGTCTGTCCAGTTATCCACCCATATACCCATCTGTCCAATCACTCACTCTGTCCAATCTCGCTTTCTCTTTCAGTGCCCATGTGGGCGATCGGGGCTATCGTGGTGGTGGGCCTCGCCCTGGTCGGCTGCTTTGCCTTCTGCATCTATAAGAAGTGTCTAGGAGGGAAGAAAAAAGCAAAGAAAGTGCGCGAGAGGAAGGCTGGACGCCGGCGGAGGAAAAAGGAGGGCGAGGAAGAAGAGGGCACGGTGAGAAAAAATGAAGGGTTAAACTTTGGGGATAAACAGATTCAGGAAAAGTGTGTTTGGATTTATAAACATGACGATTCCATTCCAGGTTTGATGGTACTTTAAATGAACAAGCATGATAGATTAGCTGTAAGTGGTTCAGTTTGATTGAGGAAATGTGAGAGAAAGTGTGCTTTTAATACAACTCTTTCCTTTTAGGAGGAGGCTAAGCCAGAAGAGGGTGAGGAAAAAGAGCAGGAATTCTTTGGCAAACTGGAATACACTCTGGATTATAACTTCACAGACAATCAAGTGAGTTTGGATGTGAAAAAGAAAATGCTCAAATAGGTGATGACCTGCTTTAGGTCAAGAGAGAACCCTCAGGGTCTTCTAGGCCTTCGGAGAAATCCTTATGATTTCTGTGAAATAAACAAAAGCATGTGTGTAGATTTATTTTTTTTTCAGTAGTCTGTAGGTATTGCATTATGTTTGGCTGGAGAAATGTGATGCTTGGAATTCTATATAATTGTTTTAAAAAACAATATTGCTAAATTCTTGGCTCAAGAAGTTGTAATTGTTAAAATAACATTGTTTTATTTTAAAATGTAAATAAATTGTAACCCTAACATTTTTTTTAAATGTAACCCTAACATTTTTTAAATTCGCCATTGCTTTAGATATATGGCTTCACATCTCTATTCTAGCCTTCCTCAATTCCGCAATAACAACAAATCCTGCGATTTCCTAATATAAAACTTTTTAAAACATCACACTTCTGTGTTTTTTGGCAGTTATAAGTCCTGCCAGGTTGATTACTTATGTTAGATGTAAATGAACTGAAATAACCTCTCTGATCAAATCAGTAATGGGGACATTGAGTCCACAGCCACCAGCTGAGCTGCATGCTGATGAATTTGGCATCACAGCAGGGTGGATCCTTTAACCAGTGTATGAAGCTCCTACATCAGCCATTAAATTACATGTTCGTTAGCTAACTGTGCTCAGCAGAGTGACAAAAAAACCAAAATTAAACCTGATCTTTGGTTTTTGGAGCTGTAGCTTTCTAGCTAAGCTAACTGTAGCTTAGTTAGCAGGTCCAAAGGGCCAACCACAACAGAAGAGGCTCAGTTCCAGCTAGCTGATGTTCAGTAGCACAGATTTAGAGGATAAATACTCATATCTGACAGCACAAAGTCAAGTGACTGAGTTCTGCGGCATGTGTAGCTATTAGCCTGTCAGCTATCACTGAGCCACTGTGCTGCAACAGCACCGCACAATACAGCCGTGTGAACCAATTGACTGTACATCTGGACAGAACCCTTTGCTTACAGTGTACAACACCTTGTATATACCAACCTGATTCGTTTGAATTTGCGCTCATTAACATTTTCATTTAATACTTTCTTTTACAGCTCATTGTCGGCATTCTGCAAGCCCAAGACCTGCCTGCTATGGATATAGGTGGCACCTCTGACCCCTATGTCAAAGTGTACATGCTCCCGGACAAGAAGAAGAAGTTTGAGACCAAAGTCCAGCGCAAGAACTTATGTCCTGTTTTCAACGAAACATTCATATTCAAGGTGCCATTTCATCACATTCTCACATCACTCATTTCACCCTTCTGTCTGCTGGACTGACAGTTTTTATTCTTCTGTAACTTTTAAACCTCTGTCAGGTTCAAAGCAGACAATCTTGTCATCAGTAGCTCCATTTTTTTGTTTTGTTATCTTTTTATGCGATTTGAAATGCCAACTGTCCTTGACATTGTACATACTTTTACCTGTCATCTTTCTTCAGATTCCTTTCAACGATCTGGCCGGGCAGACTTTGGTATTGCAGGTGTTTGACTTTGACCGCTTCGGTAAGCATGACGTGATTGGAGAGATTAAAATTCCCATGAACAGCATTGACCTCGGACAGCCTATTCATGAGTGGAAGGATCTGGTGGGAGGAGAGAAGGAAGAGGTAAGGCTTCGCAATTTCGTTTCTGTTAGTGTAAAGTATTCTTCCTCCTAGACCAGCATTTCTCAACCCTGGTCCTGTATATTTATCCCACTTCAACTCAGGAAAGGCTTGTTAATTAGCTTGAATGTAAAAGGACCAAAATATAAGGCCAGTGTATTATGGGACCAACACGGGAACCACTGTTATGGAGCAGGGGGTCAATCTGGTCAGTGGGTGTCCTTATCCAGCACATCTGTCTTCCAGCTGCTCTCTTCTGGCACACCTTAGAAACTCTTGAGCCCAGTCCCAAAAGGCACCATAAGCCCTTGGCTGCCATCGAAGTGCGCACTTTGGTGACGTCAACAATGTGCGGACTCCACAGGTGCCATTTTGGTCATACTAGTTTTTTTTAATGAGCTAATTTGCTTTTCTACAGTGGTGTAATTCAGATTACAAGCATAGTGCAGCTCATCTGCAAGTAAAATTAATAAACAAATGCATTTTTCCTCACATCTGAATAGCTGCCTCTCCGCCATGTTGGTCAGACTGTGGTAAACATGACCTTGTTCACTTCGGCTGTATCTAAATGAATTTCGGGTTATAGGCCACTGTTGAGTCTGCGTTGTTGTGGTTCTTGATGAAGGCCCCAGTAATGCTACGTTATGTGTTACATGCACGCCACATGGAATTCTCGCCCCTAGTTCCTTGGCCAGTGCCTCACTGCTTGAGAGCTGTGTCTGTCAACAAAGCTGGACGCAAATGAACAACAGTCAAATAAATTTTTTGTGAGGTATCTGTTCCTTGTTTATTTTTTGTCTATTTAAAATGGCATCCAATGACACACATTCCTGCTCAAATATGCTATTTTTTATAACTGTATTCAGCTATATATGTGGAGATTAAATGCTCCAAATTAGCTACACCATCGAAAAGGGAAGAGGGTTATGGCAGCTGTTCTATTTGCGCTGGATACATCCCCTGGATACATTCTTATTAACTTTTTGTTATGTCGGCCAGACAAATCTATGTAGACATGTGGCTCAGGTGTCCTGAGAGCTGGAACAGAACAAAAAATGTGGACTACTGCAGGTACTTGCAGATTTGAATTGCAAAAGGATCCCGATCCTTACCCTGGATACCATGTGCTCTCCAGGTTTTGCTCTAACCCACCTGGCTCAGCTCATGGAGGGTTTAGCAATTAGCCAATGGTCAAAATCCCGTTTGTTAAAACAGGGACCTCAGACGTAGGATTGGGAACAGTCGCCATAGGGCAGTGAGTCCTGCCTATGGAGTACTGTGGCCCTGCACATCTTAGAGGACTCCCCACTCCCACCCAGAGTTTGTTCAGTTGGATCAGGTGAGTTAGAGCAGGGAAATCAGTCAGGCAGGTACTCCAGTGTACTTCAGGTTAAGAACCACTGCACTAGAACATTTATCCATCTGCCTTCCTACTTTCCTCTCTCTGAGCAGCAAGAAAAGCTGGGTGACATCTGCATCTCCCTGCGATACGTCCCCACCTCTGGGAAGCTCACTGTCTGTGTGATGGAGGCGAAAAACCTGAAGAAGATGGACGTGGGTGGTTTATCAGGTCAGTGCTGGGCTGGATGGATCTCTAAAACAACTTGAACCAAGCAATTAATATCTCTGCATACCTGGTATAGATGTGCTGGGAGCTGGGTTTGAGCAATAATGTGGACCATTTTGGTGGACCATAATGACCGTGGGGATAAACACAAGTGAACCAGGTGGCCAATCCCACTCCCAGGACCCCATATGTTCACTATGTTATCTAACACACCACCAGATAATAATCAAGCCCTTCATAAGTGTAGTTAGGTGTGTCTGAGAGGAGAAAACTTCTCTTTGTGTTTTGTGAATGAAGCATTATTGCTCTACTTAGCGTTGTTTATTTATGCTCGTTCTTCCTTCTCATAGATCCTTTCGTAAAGGTGGTTCTGCAGCACAACGGGAAACGCCTGAAAAAGAAGAAGACGACGGTTAAACAGAACACGCTGAACCCGTACTTCAATGAAAGCTTCAGCTTTGAGATCCCCTTTGCACAGATACAGGTAAAGCATGGTTGATCACAGCATCAGTACAGCATAATAATGACTTATGCATAGGCAAGAAATAGTTAGCTAGTTTTTTGCACATATTGCTCCGTAAGAATAGCATAAGTCTGGCCTACGTTGGGAAGCCAACTCTATCTGACAGCAATTGCTCTGCTTCCAATATGTACTGTATGTAGCAGTTTTAGGGGGCTTCTTATGGCAGTAATGAGGCTATTAAGAAGTGCTGGACTGGAGTCCCATCAGGTCTCATTTGAGGTCATTGTAGAGCAGTCTGAGCTGCAAAAAAGGAGAGAGTGCAGTGGTTGCAACACCTAATCATAGACTAAACAATTATAACCTATTCAATCATAGAACAACCAGCTAGCCAATGTACGACTGACCAACAATAGGCTAATCAAGCATATGCTAAACAGATAACCATTTATAGGCTAAACAGTAATAGGCTAACCAATCTTAGGCTAATCCTACACTAATCTTATGCTAATCAATCATAGACTAACCAGCCAACCTATCATAGGCTAATCAATCATTTGCGAACCAGCTAAGCATTTATAGGTTAAACAATAAAAGGCTAACCAATCTTAGGCCAATCAATCATAGACTAACCAGCCAACCAATCATAGGCTAATCAATCATTTGCGAACCAGCTAAGCATTTATAGAATAAACAATAATTGGCTTACCAATCTTAGGCTAACCTTAGGCTGATCATATGCTAATCAATCATAGACCAACCAGACGCAGCCTAATCAATAATAGGCAAATTAATTCTAGATCAATCAGCTAACCATACAAAGGATAACCAGGCTAATAATCATAATCCACGCAGCTACTCAGTCATAGGTTAAATAAAACTTTTTTATGTGTGGGATTTTCTGTCACAGCAGACCAAACAGTAATGTATTTTACTCTGTTATTACTACAATTTAAAAAAAATGAAAACCTCAAAACTATTTTGGCATTTTGACATTCCACAAAACTTTAACCAGTTCATTAATTAGCAGCCCTAGTCTTCATACACACACAGAGACCACACAGATCCTTACAGAGCGTCCTCCCAGTGAGAAGGCACAGTAATACTGACCCAAACTGAGTGGAGGCGGCTGAGTAGAGAGTATTAATAACCTCTGTTCTTACTCACTGTCTGTGCTCTGTATCTCTGCAGAAGATCCAGGTGCTGATCACAGTGTATGACTACGATAAGCTGGGCAGTAATGATGCTATTGGGAAGTGCTGGATTGGCTATGGAGCCAGCGGAGTTGGCCTGCGCCACTGGTCAGACATGCTGGCCAATCCCAGACGCCCCGTGGCCCAGTGGCACACCCTGCAGCCGGAGGAGGAGGTGGATGCAGCGCTGAAGGCTCCCATCCGCTAAACGCACAGAACACTCACATCCGCTCCATTTATCTGCTAAGAAAACAGTAATTTACAGTCACTTACATAGAAAACAAAACATCGCCTCAAACGTTACATAAACATGATTATCATTATGAACCTTCCGGTACGCTAATGAGTCATTCCATGAAAGGAGAGTCATCCAAGTCTGTTTTGATGCCATGAGACAAAAATAATTTTTCCAAGTATAAATATAAAATAGGATATGATTTGTTTTTATTGCCAACTTCAATAATTAGTTGCTTTTTGGTCAGTTGTTGTCCATTACACATAATGTGTCCACCCCATCACACAAAATACACACAGAAAAACAGAAGAAGTTCTTGTTTTCAAAATTTTTGCAATGTTCACACAAAAGTCATATAATTTGCTGATGAAAAACTCATGTTAGAAAGTCTAAGCTTGATAACAGGGAGTATGACGGCCTGTTTGGCCTTTAATATTCAACCCCGTCACAGCTTCCATATGATGGGGTTGTGCTTCTCAGTGTTATTTGGCACAAAAATGCTTGTTAAGTTGGAAGCCAAGTGTAATTGCAATTATGAAGTCCAAAAAAACGATTCCTTGACGTGAAAAATGTCAAAATAGCATGTCCATTCGGCACCGATCTCATGGAATGACTCTAATACCTACGTGCTAAATACACACCTGAGGACCCAGCAATTGGATTTACTCACCTGTCTCCTCAGCTCGACTCAAAACTGCAATTTTGGAAACATATATTTTACATTTACACCTCAGTCCTTTCATTAACGATTGTTTCTGACGATGTTTCTGTCACGTTCCACTGTGAGTAACCTGTGACCCGTCCTGTCTGCACTAGAACACTCACAACCAAACCATCCACACAAAGGGAGCGTTATTACTGTCCTTATAAGAGCTGTCATTATATTGTATTTGGAAAATTTTCTTGCGTTCATGAGTGCATGTGAGTGTGAGTGTGTGTACGTATTGAGAGTGTATGTGTATATTGTATTGAATTGTATTGAATATTGTCCTGTTTTCCATCCTTGAAGTGTGATAATGACTGTAAATACAATGACAGGATACGATCAACATTGATGTGTGGATTTTTTTCTTAAACATTTTTTTTTATCATTTATATGTCACTGCTGTCGGAAGAAAATCTTTCTTTTTCTCTTTCATTTTTCAGTTTTTTGACATAATTTGAAAATGGCTGTTACCCTTTCTGTTGTTTGTAAATTTCATGATGAATGGACTACGTGAAATCACCTAAAATGGCTTGGTAAAAATTCTAGTTCCACTGACTTACATTAAAATAAAGTAGGTTTTTTCCTTCTCTTGTAAAGTTAGCATTTTGGAGATATGAGGTTTTGTTCTGACAACAGCGATATAATTATTGGTAAATTGATACGGAATAACACTGTGCCATCACACTGCTGAAAACAAGACCATCAATACTCGATGGTTTTGCTCTCTAATAGGAATTGGCTTAATATTTACCATTTGAGACCACAAGTTTTCTGTGGAACACCTTTACATCGTTTTAGGAAACCATCAAATTCATCTGGAATCAGTCTCAGAACACCTTTTTAAACCATTACTTTAGTCCTTTACTATCAACACTGTGATATCGACCCATCAGGAAAACACAAAATACCATAAGTGATTATTGGACACCACAAGGAACCACAAGAACCAACCAATGGTTTCTATTATTGTTTTTCAGCAGGGCAGTGTAATGTAAATGTAGACGTCTGGTGTCAAATACTTTCTTGTAATATGCACTTCTGTGAAATTCCAATTTTGATTGATTAGCATATCGCTGTTGTCAGAAGAAAACCTCGTATCTCCAAAATGGTAACTTTACAGGAGAAGGAAAAAACCTACTTTACTTTTAATGTAAGTCAATGGAACCAGACTTTTTTCCAAGTCATTTTGGGTTCATATCTTTTGGTCCATTCTTCATGAAATTTACACACAGCAATTCTAGTTAGCATTGTGCTAATTTCATTCCTAAACTATCACGCTCAGCTCAAACCATGTGGTCTCTGAAAACAACTTGCTTATTATGTTTCTGACACTGTATAATATCAATGAACCCAAGTGAAAAGCAGTCACATAGCTAAAAACAGCAGTGGTAGCCATGACAGACTGAATTTCAGTGTCAAAAATGACGTAAAGACGTCTATTTGAAATTATTTAACCTGATGTGGCTTGAGGCAAATGTGAAATGCAGTTATAAACTTCCATTATTTATTAGCTGCATTAGCCTCTCGCTGTTACTGTTCTGTATAAAAATGGATGGAGGTCTTCAAGATGGCGGCTGCTGCTGTTTTTTGTTATGTGACCTGCTCTTCCCAATTACTTGATAACATGCTTTAAAGTGGGCTTGTGATGATTTAGGTATGCAGTTTGCACAAAGCTAATTTGTGAACAAATTACCTAGCCTCGTAGTTCTAGTGCAAAAGAAGCAAACTTCAGAAACCAAGCACGTCTCATTAAATCGGCTACTTTCGGGCCTTTTTTGTGGGAAAACTGAGCGTTTGACCTGCAGAACTGTATGAAAGGTCAGGGTTGATGTGTGTGGAGTGTTGTTTGGTGGCAGGGACAGTGCGATGGTATGTGGGGTGCAGTGGAGCCCGATCTGCTGCTGGCCGACAGCGGAGAGGCTGGATTAATCTTGTGTTCTGTTTCTGACGTGATCCAGGAGCAGAGCTGGCCTAAGCCAAACATGTGAGTGAGGAATTAGAGAGGGGTGGAGGGGATGAGAGAGGGAGAGAGGACACTAAGGTCACTCAGCAGGAGGGAGGAGCACTGCGCAGTTAAGATGAGTCACTGTGTCACTGCACAACTGTGGATACCTTTCATGCCAGTGGGGAAAATATACACATATATATATACACACACACACACACACACATATATACTGATTAGGCATAGCATTGACCGTAGTCTGACTGCAGTCCATCTGTTTCAGCACTGCTATGTCTGATCCACTCAGACCAGCGCAACACACACTAACACACCACCACCACATCAGTGTTACTGCAGTGCTGAGAATGATCCACCACCCAAACAATACCTGCTCTGTGAGGGTCCATGGGGGTCCTGACCACTGAAGAACAGGGTAAAAGGGGACTAACAAAGTATGCAGAGAAACAGATGGACTACAGTCTGTAACTGTAGAACTACAAAGTGCACCTATATAGTAAGTGGAGCTGATAAAATGGACAACGAGCGTAGAAACAAGGAGATGGTCATAATATAATGTTATATATAAATAAAACAGTTAAAAAATATCAAACACACTTTCCATCAATCTGAGAACTCTTTAATGATTCAAAGAACCCTTTAATCACACAAGGTGTTCTTTAAGTGTTCATGGTTCTATATAGAGCCCTTTTTTACTAAAGAACCCTTAAAGAACCATCAGTTTTAATATTTGTGTTATCTGTGAATTAAAAATACAGTATACTGTAGAGTGCTAGAGAGATGTTCTGCATGTTCATTCTGGGGATTGTTCTCCTGCAGTTATTCTCTAGGTTTATTCTGACAAGGACTCTTAATGTGAAGGCGGGGCTAGTTGCTTTCAGGGGGGATTTGTGTCAGAGCAGACAGGAACCGTAGGCAAAAGACGTTCAGTGTATAGTGAAAGAGAGAGAGAAAGAGAAAGGGAAAGAGAGAGAGAGAGAGAGAGGGAGGGGGTAGGACAGCAGTCAGAAACGAGTGATAGAACCAGAGAATCAGAACTTGCGCAACTCGCCCTGAACTCATTCCGAGTGCTGACGCAGGCACTGCACAATCTGCCAAACCTCAGAGCGCGTCTGTGCTGCTATTAGATCTGTGAGTCTGGCTAACGCAGACCCAGCGGACCCCTGGGCAGGTGATGAATTTATGCAAAACACGATTTTGTAGAACATTTTCATAAAACGTTCAATCAGAGGTAAACATAAATCTGCACAGTGCAGTTGTTTTAAAATCAGATTACTTTTCAAGAGGGAATAATCTGTGGGAATACGCTGCCGGTGTAGTGGCACTACTTTATTTCCTGAGTCGCTGTATGAAAATCACCATTCAAGATTAAAAGCACCTCAACGTTTACTGAGCCAGATGATGGCCCTTCCAGAAAAATCACAACGTCCACTTGTGAATGTCACACATTTTTCCTCGGGTGGAATTTTCACATGTGATTATTGTTCATTTGTGATTATTGTTGAATTATTTACACTTTTCGCATGTTATTTACATAACGTCACATGTGATGCATGATGCGAGAACATTATTTACAATGTTAACATAATCACATTAACTTGATGCCACATGATATGCCATGTGATTGCATTCACAGTCACATGTGATGACGTTACATGATGTGACTAATTCATACTGTCACATGATCACATTTTATGATGTAACGTGACTGTTATCCACACTTTTACCTGTGATCACGTTACATGGTGCTATTCATGTGATGTCACCTGATCACATAATTCACGTCACATGTGATCGCAGGAGTATGATGTCATGTGATAACGTAATTCACAGTCACATGATCACATTATTTACACAATGTCACACGTTCACATTCACATAATGTAACATGATAACATCCATATTATGTAATGTGATCATGAGATTTACATTGTCATGTGATCACATAATCCACATGATGTCAAACATGGTCACATGTTATTCGCATTAGGTCACATTTTTACTTGTGAAGATTTGTTTTTCAGACACTTCACCTGAAATGCATGTGATTTACTGTAAGGAGTTAATCAGGCACTTTCGGATTTCACAAAATCCGAAACAGAAAATGAGGTGAACAGAACAGAGAGAGGTCCCCATCAGAGCACCAGCACTTGCCTGCCTGACGTAGTCAAACAAACTGAAAGTGTATGGCGTCTGTAAACCATTAGGTGGTGTGCTACAGCAACAGACAGCTCAAAGGTCTCTCTGGCTTTGGGGCAGGCTCCTCCTCACAGCCTTATGTATTGTTTCTCAACTCTCACACACAGTTGCCAGCGGCAAGGCAGGGATTAC